CCTTCTGCAGTTGTGGGCACTTCCTCTGCCCTGTGATTTAAAGTTCTGATGACTCCCAGTTTGTGTTGAAGTGGATGGTGTGAGTCAAAAAGCAGGTATTGGTTCGTGTGTGTAGGTTTCCAATATACTTCTACCTTCAGGCTTCTGTCCTCTCCCAAGTGGACTGCACAATCCAGAAAGGCCAGACAGTCATCTCTGGGCCAGACTAAAATCTCAAACTACAAATCAAATACATTTTTCATAGAGGTGATTTATGTCCCTTTAGGTAGATATAGGAATGTAATGATACCATAAACTCACAGTACAATACAAAGTCCACAATAACATATTTGTCGCACAATATAGGACCGATGTACACTACAGGATGTAGAAAGATCAATTAGAGTTATAAAGTTAGTATGAAATCCACCTATTCATTATCAAGATTTTAGTTTAAATCACTTTTTGGGGAAGATAAACTGCATTTTGGTTCTACTGGATTCTTGGAGGCACTTAAAGTGGAAGAAAAGACTATATGGTTTATAGTCAACAACACAAAAATACACAGAACCAGTAGAATAATTGGAAAGTCGATAATTTTCTTTATTTTATTTGTATCACCCACATTACTAGGTTATATGGAGAACGTACTATGGTACGCAGACATAATCTACACATGTATGTACTTTTAAATATTTTGTTTCTGGCTGGTAATGACATATACTTAAATCTAAGCTGTTCATAAATGAATGAAACCCTGCAGCATATAAAAATCTTACCTCTGTCACTGACAAATATTACATAGAACCACCTACGTATGTCCAGCGGTTCCGACTACGACTTCTTTTGGCTAGAATTAACATTATTCCATTACAATTTACGGATGAGGTAGGGCAGTCGTCTCCTGACCTGCAAGTCGGTGGTTCGACTCCTGGTCTCCCCGCATCCCTAAGTGCCCCTGAGCAAGACAGTGAACCCCAAATTGCTCCCGGTGGCTTGACTAGCACCGTGTGGCAGCCTGTTGTCATCGGTGTGTGAATGTTGTGTGTGAATGGTGTATCATCTCCTGTAAAGTGCTTTGGCCAGTGCAACACACTGAAAAATGCGCTACATAAATACAGTCCGTTTACCAATTTCCTCAAAAGGCCCAGCAGAGACTGTATTTCCTTCTATCGCTGCTCCATTGAGAGCATCCTTACATACTGTATATGTGTATGGTACAGCAGCAGTGGCTCAGAGGGGGCTGTTGTTTATTTAGTGGTTATGTTTTTATATGCTTTTATTTCATATGTTATGTTTTTTCTATTGCTGTATCGACTGGAGGTCACTCTGAAATTTCATTGTACCTGTTACAATGACAATAAAGGATTATCTATCTATGTTATCTTATCTATCTGTTACAAAAACAAACCTTCGTACATCCACTTGTTGGATCTATTTTGGCATTTTATTATGGTTTGATTCTGACAAAAGCAGCTGTAAGTGAATATAAACTGATCGATGCATTTTAACGGGTTGTTCATGTTCCCGCGGACCATAACCACTTTCAGGCAAGCAGTCAGTTTTTGGCACATGCTGGAGGGTGCGCTGCTGTGGACAGTCTCATCTCTCTCCTCACTCCCTGACACCTGCTGAGCTGTTTGTGATGAGTTGGCTTGTTTATTAGTCTGTTGCTTGTTTGTTTACTCACCGTTTTCCTCTCGGTCTTCAGCTCCTGGATGTATCGTGTCAGCTCACAGACAATCTGTCTATTCAGGTTTTCCGCAAGTTCTTCTCTCTGAATTGCGACTTCATTTAGCTGCCGGAGAGTCGCAGCAAACGCCAAACACCAGGTGTACCTGTAATGAACATGAAACAAGAAAAAAAGACACCAGGTGTAGCCAAAGCCACCAATTATAGCCACACTGCACCCTCAGCTGAGGAGCCTCCCATCACAGATTATTAAAAAACAAGCCTGCTGATTATAACTGACCTCAGTGATTCAGCCTGTTCATGTTCTGCATGTGAAAACAAGAAACTTAACTACATCAGAAAACTCAAAACATGAACAAAGCAAATGTTTTCAAACATAAATGTTGGGCACATTGTTATTAATTTAGTTTTGACATCATTGTGTCATAATGCTAATTATTATGGGTGATTCTCTGCAGCCCTACTTTAGAGCCCATCAAGAACACCACCACCTGCATTCTGAAAACTCAAGCATTTGTCATAGCTTTAAAGATAGAACAGAATCACTGGCAGTAGAAATTATCATTTGCTGCAACTTTACATGGTGATAAAACAGAAATCCTGTGAATCGTGAGAGTCAACATGAGACTCCTCTACACTCTCATATTAGAACCCTCTCAATGTAGCATAAATCCAACACACCTTTTAATGGTGTATAACCAGTCAGAGTTCTGCTTGCTATTACACCTGTCACCTGAAAACTGCCCTTTAAATTCACCCAGACTAGGGTCAGAGTTACTCAGGGCTAGTCCAGGCCCTCATATCAAACACATCAATTACCTGAAACATCAATTCTGAAATATGTCAACTGACCTGCTCTCATCCTCTCTGCTTCTCTTAGGGTGGTACTTCTTGGACAGACTCCTGTAGACAGACAGGAAATCACACACAGTCAAGTAGAGAGACACACAGAGAGAGATAAGTAGACCTGTTCAATGGAATCAAACCAAAAAACACCAGAACCGCATTTTATTCATCACTGATTGAGGAAAATAAGAACAACCCCAGGTTTCTTTTCAGCACTGTAGCCAGGCTGACAAAGAGCCACAGTGCTGTTGAGCTTAACATTCCCTTAGATCTCAGCAGCAATGACTTCATGAGCTTCTTTACAAATAAAATCACAACTATTAGAGAAAAAATTGGTCGGACCACTCCCACAGCTCTTGCAGATGTGCCATCTACTACAATGGCTTTAGAAACATCTGTGAGACCTCATTTATACTTGGACTACTTCTCTCCCATAGATCTCTCTGAGTTGACCTCAACAATTGCTTCATCTAAATCATCAACATGTCTCCTGGACCCCATCCCGACCAGGCTGCTCAAAGACGTCTTTCCCCTAATCAACACATCCATACTAGATCTGATTAACCTCTCTCTATTAACAGGTTATGTTCCACAGGCTTTTAAGGTTGCAGTAATTATACCTCTACTCAAAAAGCCTACTCTTGACCCAGGTGTCCTAGCTAACTATAGACCAATATCCAATCTCCCGTTGAATACTAAAATTCTGGAAAAAGTTGTTGCTAAGCAGTTATGTGACCACTTGCACAGGAATGATTTGTGTCAGCTGACATGAAACAGGTTATCAATAATCTCTTAGTTAAATGCTGTCCTCTCACAAAGCTGATTTAAATTCTTATCACTATCGTAGCACCAGGGGTGGAGAGACACTCGGCAGGCTCCCCCAGGATGCCGAGGGGAGAGGCACCTGGTGGGATCCCCCATGATGCACCTCTGGGCAGGCTGCATATAGTTGTGGGTTTGGCGGGGATTGTGTGTGTTCCTGTGTTCAGCGGTTGCTGTGTGTTTCCCGGCTGTGAATAACAGAGGGGCTCCTCAGTGGAGAGAGCGGTACAAAAGGTCATTTTGGTGTCGGGCTCCTTCTTCCAACTCAGCCGACATCACCATATCTTCACCTACACCCCCCGCTCAGTGGTGTGAATCATTTCAGAGCATCCTCAGATCATATAATGTTTGGTAAATAAAAACTAAACTTACTTACAAACAAACTCAGTGTTCATCTCTCGGTGAGGATTGAGTCAGTTTACTGACACCTCTACAGTTTTATGTTATTGTTGATTTATATATTATGTGTTCTCCTTTATTTTGTTTATCATTGTTCGATGTTTCATGACACTGGTGAGCCCTGTGTAACCTGATGTATGGGGATGCTGGGGTGCTGTTAGGGCTGTGCACAGGTGACATGCATGGCATGATGATACCTGATTTGTTTGGAGTAGCTCAGCTCAATGTCGGCTCTCTCTTTAACAAACTTGGTGTATCTCTCCAGAAAGTCGATTCCCCAGCTGGTGTGCTTCTCCAGATTATCAAACTGATCCTGAAACACAACACAATGACAGCAACACAAACATCAGTCTGTCTGTTAGCCTGCACATACACACAAGTGTGTGTGTCGAATATGTGTATTATTTAAATTTTCCCCTTAAAAGACAGCAATGATAAGGAGTGAGGGGCTGCTGTTTTATCGTCACTGGTGATTTTAATAAATTCAGCTTCTGCTTGTCAAACCAGATACAGGAGATTACATCCTGACTCCAGATATTAATCAACTTCCAACCATCCATTATTTACACTGCTGATGCTGTAGAGGGTCTCGGGGGGCTGGAGCCAGCCCCAGCTTACACCGGGCGAGAGGCGAGGTCCACCCGGACAGGCGGCTGGTCTCTCACACCTATGGGCAGGTCAGTGTCATGGGCCTGGGCTTGGGGAGGAAGCCACACAGACACAGGGGGAGTGTGCAGACTCCACAAAGCGACAGTGCCAACCACTGCACTAACATTCCGCCCTGTAATATCAAATCTAATAATAAAATAATAGATTTGCACATTTACACGATTTTACTCAAGCTGAACACGTGACCTGACTGACCCAGAATAGTTAGAAGTGGAGAGGAACGGGGTGTGTCTCTGAAAGGTCCATTTGCACTGAAATAAAACAACAAGGGTAATAATGATGATGGGGGGGGGGGGGGGGG